TTTTGTGGGACAATTTTCTGTGTTATTCCAATCTATCAATCAATTGATTAAAAGGATATTTAAATAACATACTTTCAACTACTTATCCTAAAATGACTGCACCTACTGCCCACTAAATCTCCAGAACCAATGTGGTTATTTACTTAGTCATACTCCTAACAAAAGACTAAATTACCCCTGCATAAAACACATGGCTTTGACTTGGTTTGGATTAACACCAACAAAATAATCATTAAAACATGATTTCAAAGTTTAATTCTGATAGGAAAAACAAAAATACCAAAAGGAAAAAAAAAAAAAAAAAAAAAAAAAAAAAAAAAAAAAAGGAAAAACATGTCTTTTCCATCAAAGTCAAAAAATCAAAATGTTATAATTGTGGCGAAAATAGCCATCAGGCAGCTGAGTGTCATCATGAACAGAATGTTAAACTTACTAAAATGTTAAACTGTTTAATGATAAATAGACAGAGAAATCAAACGCGTTTAATTTTTTACTTGATGAATGTAATAATATTTTCTCATATCTATCTATCAAACCCATGGGTATCAAACTTTCTCCAAAGGTATATAATGACAAATGGGTTCCCAAAAGTATCTAACTTTCTTGAGTAAATTACACGAATGGTCCTTATGGTTTGGGGTAATTTGCGCATTTGGTTCCTAACTTATTTTTTTAACTCGGAAGGTCCTTACTATTTCTTTTTGTTACATGCTTGGTCCCCACTGTTTGTTTTTGTCACGCGCTTGGTCCCTGTATTACCTAAAAAGACTATTATTTAAATAGGAAAAAATGATGGGGTAGATAAGGTAAGGTGAGAGGATAAGGTTTGGGGTGTGTTTATTTAAATAAATTAAAAAAATCAATGGCAAAATAGTCTTTTTAGGTAAGACAGGGACCAAGCGTGTAACAAAAACAAACAGTAGGAACCTTCCGAGTTAAAAAAATATGTGATGGACCAAACATGCAAATTACCCTAAACCATAGGGACGATTCATGTAATTTACTCAACTTTCTTCTAAAATGATGTCACATGGGCAAAGGAATGGCTTTTAGAAGGTGGTTTCTACATACACATGATAGGTTCAAAATTATTGTTAAATGATTATGGGAAGGTAGATGGACTAGTAGTTGCTTCTGGGGACTACATTGAGTCAATCCTAAAAATTGAAAGTATAATCCTTTCATCGACAAGGTGCTTAATGTGGCTAAAGTTAAGAAATCAATTTGGCAATATGAACTCCTTAGATTTAAATATTGAGCTTCACACAAGTTGATGAATCTAGGACTTTGGGTGACAAAATAAATCAACCACAGACCACACAAATAACTTGTGCAAAGGTGTATGGAAAAAGAGGCTAATAAAAAGGTCAACATGGAACAAAGTCATAGGAAACATATAGCCATCTACTACATATTTAGGTGCGTTTAGTTGTGGAAAATTGTTTTCATTTTTTAAGAAAATGTTTTCTAGAAATAGAGTTAAGTTTTCATTTTCAGTTTTCAATATAAATTTTAGAAAATGTGTTTGGTTGAAACCCATGGAGTTTTCAATTTCCATCTTAAAAATTTTAAAAACTTTAAAATCATTTTCTAATTTACATACAATTTGGAAAACATAACATTTTTATTTTATTGGAATATTTTTGAAAACCGAATCAACCAAACACGTTTTCAAAACTATCATTTTCATTTCAAAATTTTCATGGAAAACTTAAAAATTTCCACAACCAAACCTTTCATTTTGATTTGAAAATTTCCATGAAAAACTCAAAAAATTTCCACAACCAAACGCACACTTAAAAGTTTTTTGGTAGCAAAAAAATTTCTAGTTTTCCATAAATAATTTCTTTTTTCCAAATTATATGTAAATTAGAAAAATAATTTTTACAGTTTTTTAAAGTTTTCTAAATTTCTAAGATGAAAAATAAAAACTTCATCGGTTCCAACCAAACATGTTTTTAAAATTTTCATTAAAAACTAAAAATGAAAACAGCTTTCCGCAACCAAACTTAATACCAACTTTATTGAGTTTTTCAAGAGTTTGTAAAATTTCCATTACCACCTTACCCAAGGTGCACCCTACAAATATCATTTGTGTAGCACAAATGATTAGACCTCTGTATGTCACTATTACTAAGCTCAAAACTAAAAACATATAAATTCAATTTCACCGCCTAAATATAAAAGCATTCAACGCTCCTTTCAATCCAAATGTCAACCTTCAGAACAATTTTGATCAAAGTAGTGACTGAAATATAACATGTTAGTGCAATAGATTACTTGATGCATGTTGTGCATTGCCCATAACCTTTATTGCTTTTCATTCCACATAACCTTATATTTCCTTGATGAGTTTCGCTTCTAGTTGTTCAAAGAAAAATATATAAGCACCATATCTAATGGCCATGTAAGCTCAACATCTAACTTTGTTGTTGTGAATTGTGATCCGAAAGACTTCAAAAGTAATAAAATAGACGAATAGTTACACACACCCAAAATCAACAAGTTTCAATTATTGAACATATATTTAAACATTTTCAGATGCATCTCTTTCGGGTTCATCCGTCTTACTCTTTCCTCCTCCCGTACCACCTATCAACCTCTCCGCCGCCAATCTTTCCTCCAACGCCCGCGCACCCCTTTCCCTGCCATCAAACAAACACTTAGTGACACTGACACCGACACACTGACAAACAGTGACAATGACAATGACAATGACAATGACAATGACAATGACAATGACAATGACAATGATAGAGACAGTGACAGTGACAGTGACAGAGATAGTAGAGATAGAGACAGATAGTGATTTTTGGTCGTAGCCAAAAAGGTGGGACAGAGACTTGTAATCAATATTTCATTAGTGGAAAAGACGAAAATACCCTTTTTATATGAAGAATAGAATCATTACCTTCTCCGAGTTGCCTCGATGGGATCAGAGCCGGGCAATGTGGTGTTGCCAGGTGTATAACCGCCTCTTGCTTCATTGGATGCGTCAGATCTTCCACAAAGCATCCGATGGAATATTGAAGCGATAGGATCAATCACAGGTCTACAAAACCAACAAGTTAATTGCAATTACTTCATAATCTTTTATTCCATAAAAATTGCAATTAATTCCATTTTAAAGATTCTTCCACAAACCATACACCCCATTTGAATGCTTCAATTTACATGAGATGGTGACATGACATCACATTCGAGGGCCCACCTTTAATGAAAATAAGAGGGAGCATAAAAGGCTGTGAATTTACCTTAGGAATTCAGGGAAGAAAGTAGAAAAGGAAAATTCATCACTAGGGTCACCCTTAAATCCAGTTTCTTGTTTTCTTTGAAAGTATCTGAGATAAATCCAACCAGTATATGTCCCAAATATCAAGATTGGAAGGTATGTTGCTGGCTCTAAGGTAAAGAAACTAACAAGAATAGCTAACAATAACATCATCGATGGCAACCACTGCATAAAAAAATAAAATTAGTTTGTCACAGTAAAGGGTAGAATGGTAATTTTCCATACACTTTATACCTTTGCTTTGATTTTTAAAGGAGATAGTTCTTGATCAGGAATTATCTGTTTGACACCAACTAAGAGCCCTGAAAGTACCCCGCTGAAGCCAGAAAGAGGCGTGTAACTACCAAAAGTTTAAAAAATAATGATCAGAAAGTTTGATGTTAATCATAATAGGAAGACTCAAAAGAACCAAAATGAAAAGGGGCACAAAAGGAATTTTGCATTACTTACAGATAATTTTCTTGCATTGTTACATAGTACAAGGAGATTGTTGTAATGAACACACATAATGAAGTCAAGAAATTGACAATGAAAATGAACTTCATGAACTCTCTAGAACCCCATATGGGTTCTAGAAGCTTCCCAATGAAAAGAAGACCAATTGTGCTGCTAAGAACCTGTTTTTTTTTTTTTTTTAAAAAAAAAACAGTTTATTCATTTAGACACTAATAATTAATAAGTAGAGTTGTGTGGATAAAATGATACATACCCCATGTACTGTTTGTTCTATGTAGCCAGCTGTTAAGAGGTTCCAACCAAAAGGAATTGTCCTGTAATTTATATAAAAAGGGATAATATGTAAGTGATAATAATGAGGTTACAAATGGAAAGTAAACTTTACAACCAAATCCAAATCATCAGTTCAAATCAAGTATGGAGAAAGATTTTATATTCAGATGAACATCATCTGCGTTTGCCACTATAATTCAGAGTAATTTGTTGAATGAAGTTCAACTGTAAAGAAGAGTTTATGGATGATCTTTTAAATGACAAGTAGATGTACCCTTGATTTGCAATCATCAATGGTTATGATAATTTTAAGAACATGTAGTGCACATTCATGAACCAGTTGAAAATGTTTGAGGGCTTTTATAGACAGAATCAAACAGCTGCATTTAGGGTTTCGTGTTTAAGTTAATTGCTACATGGCCTGGGTCTATTCCAAACCTATATATCAATTAAATCTTGAATGCAATTTCAAAATCGAATAGCTACATAGTTAAAAGAAATCAAGGTTACCTAGCAGGAATTAGTGCAACGTAAGTAAGGATCGAAGGGAGGATCTGAACAGCAATGTATCCACTAACAAGTACTACTGCAAGCCCTTTACATAGCCTCGTAAATCCCGTAAACAAGTTCGCACCCTGCCGACATTCGCCAAACAACAAACACACAAGAATAAATTCGCGGTTTTTAGGGAAAATTTTCAACGTAATCGTCTTGAGGTAGATTGAATCATTTGAATGTACTATGGAAACAAAATAAATAATGAGTTTTGATGAAATCTATACTGGTGCAAAGAGGGACTTACTGCCGGAGAACTCATGATCACCGGGTGGTGTAGTTATGGCTGATTCGGTTTAGGGCTCAAATCAATGTTGGATTTTATGTAATCCAACTATGAAACTCTAGAGTCAGATGGTGGTCTCTCGACTGCTTTTCTGGCGGTCGGCGATCGGGAAAATTGGTGCGGAGGAGTAGATCTTAGAGTCAAATGGGGTTGAGTGAGATTCAAGGGGCCAACTTATCATCAAGTTGAATTTGATGGCGAAAATTGAATATTTCCATGAAAATAAAAAAATAAAGGAAACTTCAAGTTGAAGTCTAACAAACAAATCAAAATAGCATTTTACTCTAACGGTATCCGGTGTTATATTTATTTTTAAGGTTGAAGGTTCAAGTGATCAAGTCCCACTATAGATATAGGTGGAATAATTTTTTAAAAAAATGAAGTCTAACAAAGAAAAAAAATATAGTAATTTATTAATAATAACTAATTTTTATAAAATTTGGAAAGATAACTTCTTTATTTAAAATAGGGCATTTTGGAGAAGTATTATTTATTCTGGAGTATTTGATATAGATATAGTTTGAAATCTGAAATTCAGCACAGTACATTTTAGACTAACATAGTCAATACTGGAGTACGGTGGTCAAAACCGTAATATAGAACTGACATTCCGAACACCAAAAAACTAGGTTTTCCTTCCTATATAATATGTGGTATTCCATTTAGTTATTTACTTACAACCAGAATCCGTAATTTTCTATTATAATTTTTTGAGTATGAGTTTCTCAGACAGCGACCACGAAGAAAGCTTTATCAACTTGCATGTTTACCTACCCAATCTTAGGTTGACAAACCTTCATAGTTACATGAACATAAAAAATGATGTTATGGATTGTTTCCAACTCTATTTTGTAACTATTAGATGTGTGGTCAAATAATATTGTTCCAAGTTTATGTGTTTATTTAAAATTTATATTTTTTATAAATGATTGTTTTATTTTCACAATAAAATACAGTTTTATGCATTCGTAGGTTGTTTGTTGTCTATCATCATTATAAGTAATGTCCTTCTAAGTTGGGAGTACCTATAGATAATGTTCATAGTGGTTATAAAAACAACCAGACCATGCCTAGAGCATTCTACCTTAGCGTGGCAAATAATGTCAAATCTTGAACCTGGTTCATGATGAGGTTGAAGGAAGCTCTCAAGGATGTTAAGAAAGTATCGCTCATAACCAATATGGATGATGTCATAACTTCTTCCTAGTTCATGTATTCCTTGATTTTTATCATGGGTATTGTTTTAAGAGTGTGGCATGTATGCAAATCGTATACTATGTTTGATTTTTTAAGAAGCATTATGCCAGTTAACCCTTGATGCATGTGAGGTGCTTGCCAACATCGATTATGCAAAATAGGCAATATCATATTCTTCTTAACATTCATTGGAATGTACTCATCATTGATATTCCAGAAATTCTCATGATGTTATGGTTTAATGAAAACAATGTACCAAATGGGGTAAATAAAAGGGTATACATGGTAGGAATGTCAAAAATGAATGGCTTGTTATGTGTATGGTATATGTGGTTGGTATTTTGGGGGTATCTCACTAACCTTTCGGGCTTACAGTTGTGGTTTAAATGTTTCATGTATTTCAAGAGATCGCAACAAGGCAAAGGCGTGATCGTACCGCTCCTCATGTTTATGTTTTATGTTATGGTTCTGGGATGACTCTGATAACAAATGTATTGAAAACCTTTTTCTAATAACTTAATGAATTTGGGTCGTTTTTGAAAAAGTTTAAATTGGATTGAAATTTTGGATGTTACAAGTTGGTATCAGAGCCTTGGGTTGAGTGAATTGGAGGAACATTCGTGTGAATCCAGTCTCAAATCAAGGACAGTTTTCAAAAGAGAATTTAAAATGGTTTTCAAAAAGGAGTAAAGGGGGACGCGGAGGTACGATCAGCCGGAGCCAGTAGTAGCCCCAAATTACCATACAAGTTATTTGTTTATGTGATATGATAGAACAACATGCTAGTACTAGGCTAGGGATCTTCAGGAATTGCATGATAGAGTTGCCTGATTTATGATGCCTGCTAGCTTAGGGTTTCTTTCTGTATGAGATTTCCAGTGTTCCTCTAGGAGTGAGGGTTGAGTGCTTGTTATGCCTGTTATTCTCTAGTGTGTTGTGGTGATACTTGATATAAATATGGGTAGGTGCGGAAGGTAGTATAGGCCCGTACTACTGAAAACACATGACCCATATGCATATCAAGGAAGTCACAACCCCTAGGGCTGGGTTGAGAGTCGGTTCCCGGGTTAGTGGGAGGTTTCTGATGTTTGCGGTGTTTTTCAGTATGGTGGTTACTAGGCATGCTGGGAGTGGATCCGGGTCAGGATCGGGAGCAGGATAGGGCGATCAGGGTGGGTCAGCACCACCCGAGGTTATCCGTCAGAAGAGCACATATGAGTTGGATGCTAGGATTCGTGAGATCCTGCATGATAAGGTTGCTGCTATGTTTCGGGCCGAGTTGCCGGAACTGTTTGGGTCCATCAAGACCGCCATGGTCGAGTATTTTGATGAGCGCTATGTAGCTCTTACAGAGACGGCTGCCGCAACAGCTACAGCGGCTGTAGCAGTAGTAGGAGGAGGAGCCGATAGAGGTTTTCAGTATCGGGACTTCAATAATACGAAGCCCCCTACCTTCGATGGAGTTCAGGACCCGATTGTAGCTATGAGATGGTTGTCAGACGTGGAGGGGTGTTTCTTCACGTGTTCATTCCCTGCTGATCAGAGAGTGAGGTGTGCTCTGAACTTGTTGAGGCTCGAGGCGAAGGATTAGTGGAGATTGACCACGGGGTCATATTCGGATGCGCATCGGGCTGTGGTTTCATGGGATCAGTTCCGGGAAATGTTCAGTACCCGTTATGTTCCACGAGTTTGAGAAGGAAAGGTTGGCTCAGGAGTTCCTGGAGCTGAAGCAGGATATAGAGTCAGTGACGGAGATCACCAGGATGTTTATTGAGAGGGCGATGTTTTGCCCAGAGTTTGCTTCAGAGCAGGCTCAGGTGTCACGATATCTAAGTATGCTCAAGAGGGATAACAGGTAGTTTGTGTCTACACAGAGGTGCGAGACTTTGTTGGAGTTGCAGGAGGCCACTCGGCGGCGTGAGTTGAAGATTGAGCTACAGTTGAGGGAGAAGAGGAAGGCCCCGACACAGTCGCAACCAGTGCCGAAACGGTCCAAGACCGTTGATACTAGGTCGGGAGATCAGAGTAGCCGCACTTGTGGAAAGTGCAGGAAGGGTCACACTGGAGTTTGTAGGTCCGGTGGTGCGTGCCGCAAGTGTGGAAGAGAAGGGCATTACGCAAGGGATTGTCGTCAAACAGCCCCAGTCCAGGATATGATGATTTGCTATCAGTGTCATCAGGTTGGTCACATGCGGGCCAACTGTCCACAGCTTGCTGCAGGACCAGTGCAGGCTCCAGCACCGGCTATTTTGAGGATTTCGGGTTGGGGTCACGGTGGAGTAGAGCCCCTAAGGGCTCAGGGGTGTGCTTTTCAGCTTATAGCAGAGGAGGTCAGGGCAGAGCCGGATGCAGGTGCGGGTATGTTTCCTTTTTGATATCTTGTTATCTTATGATTGTTGTGGAGTATTGCTTATGCTAGTCATGTTTGCATGATTTATTGTGGTTTATTGTTCGCCTTTTCGTCTGGGTTATCTTTTGGTAGAGGGTTTTATAGCTGGGAGTTGTAGCTGGTTAGTATCCAAGGGATGGATGGTCAAGATTGGTTGTGTGGTCTTGTTGTTGAGTATAGGTGGGAGTTGTTGAGAAGTGTTCAGCTGGGAGTCCGACTCCCTTAGGATTCGAGATGTGCAATGTCGGGAGAGCAGTTTTGTGAAGATTACTCATTCAGAGGAAAGCAGTTTATGGATGACGAAGGTATGGGATAGAAATGATTGTTCTAGACCGGATGAGTCACCAGTATTTGGAGGTCAGTGTTCTAAGGGGGGGGGGGAGTTGGAAAATTCTCAGGAGGATCGACAAGTATCTGAGTTTGATTAGCTGTTTGGAAGTCGCCTGTGTTTCATTCAGCCAAGAGTGTGGGCTGGTATGAGTAAGTGGAAGACTAGTGGGGGCAAGAAGCAGACCATGGATTCAGGGTAGATAGTGTTTGATGTTAGGACTGGGTTAGGCCATGGAAAGGATTCTGGGATTGGAATGGAGTTAGAGTTCGGAACCCCTTGAGGGCTAGAATAGTATGTTTGGGAGAGAGTCCCAGGAAGGATAGTTCGGGATGAGATACGATAGTCTGAGCGGTCCGGAGAGACTGAAGGCCTGTGGGCGTACCAGTCAGGCTGAAGGCCCTGGAGGGCGGTCCAAACATGCTGAAGGTTCTGAGAGTGGTCCAGATTGGCTGAAGGCCTAGTAAGGCGGTCCAGTCATGCTGAAGACTCGGTAGGTGTTGATAGATCTATATGAAGAGATGGATTGAGTATGTTGCGGTGCAATGGCAACCAGTAGGTCTGGCCCCGGGTATTGATCATGTTAGTGGGAGGTGGTGCATGGACTCGAGAGTCCATGCAAGTAGATTCATAGCATGTGTGATGCATGGAGTAGCGGTTACTATACAAGGGATAGTGTAGAGTGGGGTGTGTACATCATGGAACTTGTCTGAAGCGGCGAGGTTGGCAAGTAGATTTCCTTGGATAAGGAAAGGGAAAGATATGTAACTCCGGGAAGGAGTGTTGGTTCACGGAAGTGGAAGCAGTAGTGAGAATGGAGGATTGAAAGTATTTCAATTATGGTTGTTAAAGCAATGTGAAATACCAGTGGTATGGAAGCACATCCGGATTGGGTGTCTGTTGAGGTTGCGGATGAATTTCCGGTGGTGTAGAACCAGAGGAGTTCGGAAGGGATGCAAGGATGGAGCCTTGGATTTTCGGTATGGTTGTAATCAGGAGGTCATGTATGTGGCGGTAATTCATCCTGGGAATGTCAGGAGGTATCATCAGTACGTGGGGTTTTTCCAGCCTGAGGATGTTAGAGCAGGTTCAACATTTGTATGTGATTGCAGAAGAGAGCTCTTGGGAGTGCTCAGGAGCTGAAGGATGTGTCATCCTGTCAGCTCGAGAAGGAACGAGTTGGATTCGGAAAGGGGCGCGGGATGAGTCCCAGCAACTGGTACCGGGTCGGATTCCGGTGGTTCAGGGTTATATCTAGCTCGTAAGAGTCAAGTGATTGTTGTGATCTGGAACGAGTGAAGTATCATG